AAATTCCAAAGAAATCACACACATATATACTCACACACAATTAGAGCTAATTCAGAAAAGTTGCAGGATATAAGGTCAAAACACAAAACTCAGTTGTGTTTCTATAAAGTAAGCAACTGAAAAATAAATTTAAAAATGTAATTCCATTTATAATAGCCTCACAAAGAATAAAATGCTTAGGAATAAATTTAGCAAGAAGATGCAACTACAAAACATTGTTGAAAGAAATAAGGACCTAAACAAATGGAAAGATGTTCTATGTTCATGGATTGCAAGAATATTCTTAAGATGGCAATGCTTCCCAAATTAATCTATAAATTCAATGTAATCATTGTCAAAATTCCAAATATCTTTTGCATAAATGGAAAAACTGATTCTAAAACTTACATGGAGTTTACAAGGAGCTCTGATAGCTGAAAGAATTTATAAAAAAAAAAGAAAAAAAATTAAGGATTTATAATTCTCACATTAAAAACTTATATAAAGCAAAGAAATCAAACAATGTGGTACTGGTATGAAGACAGACCTAGATCTATGGAATACAACTTAAAGTCTGGAAGTAAATATATACATCTACACGGCCAAGAGTTTTTCCACAAAGAGCACAAAGGTCATTCATTGAAGACAAGAGTCTTTTCAATAAATGGTGGTAGAATGACAGAACAGCCATGTTGAGTCCTTATCTCATGTTATATACAAAATTAAATCAATATGAATGATTGGCCTAAATATAAGAGCTAAAACTATGAAATCATTAAATGGAGAGAGAAGGAAATCTTTATGACTTTGGATGTGGTAGTAGTTTCTTAGAGAGGTCACATAGACAAAGGAATGAAAGGAAAAATAGGCTTTGTCAAAAGTTGAAACCTGTGCATCCAAGGACATCATCTAGTCAGAAGGTAAAAACAAAACCCACATAATGGAAGAAAATATTTTCAAATCATATACATGACAAGATTATGGTAAGACTATAAAGAAGAACTCCTAAAACTCAATAACAAAAAATAAGCCATTTAAAAAGTGGGCAAAGGATTTGAATATTTATCCAAAGACATACAATGAGTCAGTAATCAAAGGAAAATATGCTCGGCATCATTAGTCACTAGGGAATGCAAATGAAAATCACCGTGTGATTCTATTTCACACCCACTAGCATGACCATTTTTTTAAAAATAGAAACAACTATAAGTAACGATGTAAAAAAAATATAATACCCATACTGTTGGGGATTTAAAATGGCAAAGCCACTGTGAAAAACCACATTGGTGATTCCTCAGTAAGTTAAGCACAGTATCATCATATGATCCAGTAATTCCAATCCTACCTACATAATGAAGAGAACTGAAAAGAAGCACTCAAATAAAAATTTGTACATCAATATTTACAGTACTATTATTCATAGTAACCAAAAAGTTGGAAGAATATAACTGCTCGCTGACAGTATGTAGACAAAAGGTGATATGTCCATACAATGGAATATTATGTGTCTGTATAAAGGAATGAAATATCAATACCAGACCACAAAATGGATAAACCTTGAACAAATTATGCTAAATGAAAGAAGCCAGACAACAAAGGCCGTGTATTATGTGACTCTATTTATACAAAAAATCCAGAATAGGAAAACCTATTCGGAAAAAAAGATACATTGGTGTTTATCAGGAAGTAGAAGGTACCAGAAGTAACTCCTTAAGAGGTACAGTGTTTTGGGGGGGAAATGTAAATGTCTAGAATTAGATCACTGCCATAGTTGCACAACATTGTAAATGTACTGAAAGCCACCAAAAAGTCACTGAATTGTGCATTTTAAAATAGTTAAAATGGTGATTTTTTTCAAAAAAGTTCAGTAGTTATGACTTTTAAAAAATCTGCCCAAGTATTCAACTCAAAAGTGAGTATATAAAAAAATGCGTATCATAAAAAGTTGTAAGGACTTTTGTTCTGTCTCATTCTTATTTTTCTTAGACCCCAAAGCTGACATTGGTTCCCCCAAACAACAGTATCTTAATAAATATTTAACTTCTGATTGGCACTTAAAACGGGCATAAACAGTGTGTGTGTGTGTGTGTGTGTGTGTGTGTGTATAAATGTATCTGACTGCAATTAAAGGAAAACTTCTGCTCCTTTGGGGGGGAAAAAGTACAGTTATCCTTCAATATCTACAGTAGACTGATTCTAGGACACATACCTAACTCGTCCCAAATATCAAATTCCAGGAATGAAAACCCCTTTTGTAAGATGGGTTGAGATTTTCATATAACCTACCAACACTTCATTTCATTTTATTGTGTGGGAATTGAAACCAGGACCTCATGAATGCTAAGCACACATTTTACCACTGAGTTACTCCCCCAACCTCTCTATATTTTAAATCATCTCCAGATTACTTACAACACATAAAACAATGTGTTATGTAAATAGCATTATAGCTATTTTACTGTTTTGGGAATAATGATAAGAAAAATATCTGTACAGACATAATTTTTTAAAGTATTTTTATCTGTGGTTGGCTCACTCCACAGATACAGAACTGGTAGATACGATGAGCCAATTGTATATACTTTTACACGAAAATGACTAGCTTTTCTTATTAAATACTAGTGTCAGCCCCAAGTGGAATTTAAAAAATGGTATCTAGTCAACTCCTTTGAGTAATATAGTTTTGAGATTTGAAAATCTGACTGGAATGTGCCAAGCGTAACTATTAACAAATATAAATAAAATGTTAAAAGATTTTCCTAAAGGTAAACATGTTCTGTTTAAACTGTTCAACGTGCAGGAAAACCAACTCCCCACAATGCATTCAAGAGGTACTGAAAACATGTGCTAATAAAAATAAAAAATAAAATGCAAGAAAAGAATGTCCACATGAAAACAAATTCTTTTTGTTTGATTAGTCTGTCAGAATATTAAAATTCATTTTGGCAGGAAAAAATCAGTTTTATTCTAGAACATCTGATACATAACTTTAAAATGTGTTAAAGAAGTAAGAAAAATAGCTATACTATTTGACTGGCACAGTACACTTTTCTAAGACGTTTGAGGGTAATCAACCATTTTTCCTGTACCATGAATGAGCCTGGACCCTCTTACTATACACTTCTTCACTTCTCCAAGACCAGCATAACGACAATGGAAAAGTCCAAACTGATCAGGGGGAAAAAAAAAAAAAACACCCGTGGATTCTGGCATAGAGAGAGGTGGGACTGCCCCCCTCTGACAGCTGCACAGGGACTCTGGGGCCGCTTCCTCATCAGCCAAGTCACTCTCACCCAAGCTTCACTGAAAGAAGTCAGTCCTACTTATCAATGAGCTTTTCCTAGACTTGCACTTCAAACTTGAAAAGTAACTAAGTAACTTAAAAGCCACTATATAAATAGAAATTTCCAAAGATATAAATCAAAAGAATTAAATCTGAGGGGGGAAAAGCTATAAAACGAAAGTAAATCTACAGTGACCACTGACCAGTTTTTCAGACATCTTTTTTTCCATGACACCAGAAAATAAAAGATGAACTACAACTGAAGAACTATATGGCTATAATCACCCACTGACAATCAGTATTACATTTAAAATATATATCATACAATTTACTGTTGTAGTCTTTAGAATACTATGTAGTTTTAAATAAAAATAGGAATTTTTAGAAAAATTAAATAAAATATATATATTGCCATTCTCACAGGAAAGGAGGTATAACACTTACATTTCATGTCAAAGATGGTTTTTCCCTGATATCAAATTCCATTCCCAAGTCAGCTGCTATCTTAACATTTTTTCTTCCAGCTTAGAATGATGAACAATTGGATTTTAAAGTCAACATTAACTGTACAAAAGGGTATGCCACAAACATGATATAACTCAGATTCAGAAAGTATAAAAATCTAACCAGAGAGGTCTCTTTTACTGAAAATCTAAATTTCTGATTTTCAGTATACATGGTTTGATGTGACTACATTTACACTATGTACTCCTGGGCTTAAACTCTGTTAAATTAGGAGGAAAGAAATCCTGGTTTCAATGAAACAGAATATTGGAAACTCAGAGTACTGGATTCTTTTTAATGCTGATAAGAAATAACTAGTCATTTTCAAAACGTGAAAGAGCAGAGAAGCCCAATGCTTCCAAAATGTTTAAATGATTAAACACTAGTTCATTAACGTTTATTTAATGTCCTCTTTAAAAGCTTAGTTTTAGGGTATTATCAGTGATTTGTATAACTATTCTATGTAATAAATTTGGTTCACAAAATTGTTCTAAATGTTTCATTCATAAATTCTATATATCTTAAAAGTACTATGTTTATATCCAAAACAAATCTGTAATATTAGGCAGTAATAGAAATAATAGATAAATAGCACTTTTCTACTTTTAAATAAAATAATAAAGACATTTCTGAATGCGGAATAGAGTGCTAACAAGATATACAGCTGTTTAATATCCTAAATTTTCATTAAAACCACAATATTCTTACATTATTCATCACTACAAATTAAAGGCAGTTTATCATACACAAGTAATCAAATTTGAAAACAGTAATTATTAAATATATTTTCATTTTTAAGAAGGTAAATCACAGTTTGAATGACATTACTGCCAAGTTAATGTAATGAATACTGTCAAATAAAATATATCATACCTATATACACATAGATAGGGCAACTGTTTAAGAGTGGTAAGAGGCTAGACAGTGTGGTTAAATATTTTATTATGAGACATGAACAATCTTAGTGATCTTGGGGTTTTTTTCAGCAATTCCCGTAGACAATTCAAGTGAAATTATACCTGTTTGAGGAAATGACTATTTCTGTAGTTTTATCAAACACCTAAAGTGAATTCCTCAAAAAAAAATCATTACAGCAGCACATAAACCAAGATTCAGTCATTTCCAAGATAACCTTTTGTTCATTTTTAAAGACAGTTACAAATTACTCAGTAGATACTAAAAATAACTAGAAGAACCACAATAAAAAATGAACAAAAGTAAAGAAAAATATTACCTTATGAAGCATACTTTCTATTGTTCTCATATGATTAGCAACACATTCTTTGTCTCTAGAAAAAAGAAAGATTAGACATGAGTAAAGCCCCAACCTTTCTACAACTGTTACATATTTTAGTATAAATCACTATGATGAAGAGGAGTTGGTCACTGTTTTCCTTTTAAAGGTACAAAACCCACCATATCTACACTTAACTCTTATATTCACTTATGCTGTCTATCCTACATTTAGGGGCACACACAAAAAGTGAACAAACAGAAAAAAATCACAATTACATAATTAATAATAAAAATATTCTGAAAAGTATTCTTGATATTTATAATGAAAAGGATAATAGGGAAATATAAATTGTTTATATTATGCAAAATAATATTTTCCTTTCTACACAGTTTTGTGTGTATTTGTGTGTGCAATAATAATCACACAAAAAAGGCTCTATGATCTGACAACGAATATGCAATCACTACCATCTCCTACTGACCTTGTATATTGAATTGAGCTTTTAGAACTAAAAAGTTTGAACAAATATGCTGAAAACAAAAAATTCTGCAGCAAATTATAAACTGAAAACTGTAAATAATGAATTATCTCTCCATATTTCAAACTTGCCTTCTTTAGTTTCATTAGGACATATGCCTATGGTTACAGATCACAGACACGTCAAAGTCCTGACTTAACAGCAATGTTGTGAAAACAATATAAACCTGGAGGTTTAATAATCCTACTTTCACTAATCTCAGAATTTTCTCAGAGCTTCAGGACTCACTGGAAATTATCTCCATTAAGTCTCTTCACTTGGTATGAGGAAACTGACCCTGAACAATAGCAACAAAAACTGAGTTTTTAATATGACAATTACATAGACCTGAGATGGTGGTGCAGTGTTATATAGCTTTGCAGTTTTTACACAAACTATCAGTGGCTATTCAAACATGCCAGTATTTGGGCCCTGTACCAATTCATCTTATCATTATGCATAAGTGACATCACCAGCCCAGATTGCAGATTCTCCATTCCATGATTTACAGAGTACAATCTACAGTTGACAGAGTATATTCAAATTTCACAGAATTTTATGCTTAATAACAATTTGTCTCAAAGAGTTTTTAATTAGTGTATGTATTTTTACAAGTGCAGGAATTAAGAATTACAAATTGAGACATTTAATTTATTTAAATCAGATGTTTCTTTAATTCTTAAAAAGACTTTAAATCATGCTGCTGTACAAAGGACCATTTTAAAGTAGTCCATAAAATTCATTGTGGAGGAAAAACATAAAAATGCCCAAGAGAACTGTTCAATTTGAACTTCACAATATATGTCAACTTGATATCTGATAAAGGAAAAACACTCAACACATTTATATTGCTGTCCACTTGAAAACTACATTTTTTTCCTATTTAACATATCAGAATATATAGCTATGAAATAGTATTTCCTGTGTCCAATGTTTTTGTTGCATTTTAAAATGCTATGCACACATGTTGATTATATACTAACATTTCTTTGTGAAAATATTATTTGCACTGCTAGTATATTAGAATATATTCAGAACAGAATTTGAGGATAGTGGAAAAGGCGATAAAGAATATGTGGCAGAAGGTACTATGCAAAACTTTCAAATAAAGAGGCTTCTTTTCCACATTAATAAAAACATAAGTCTCAACATGTAACAATAAAATAGAGCCAAAAAATGCATAATTAGAGGTTATACGGAAGCTTGTACTTTTCTGAGGCTTCTCAATAAAATATACATTTAGTATGTTGAGTTAAGGGTTTTCTTTTTTGAGGATGTATCAGAGAATTTCAAAGAAAGACAGCTGTACTTTTGTTTTCTAACACTGTATTATCCAGGGCTAAAACCCGGAGCATGAAAGTAAGAATTGATCTTTTGTCTGTTTTAAGTGATCTCCCCAAGGTCCAAATGCTCACTTGGCTGCCATGCGGAGGGCACTCTCCGCATCATGGATGTTCTCCTCCAGTCGACGCTTGTCCTGCTCCAGCTGGGTAAGATGTCTATTGAGCTGACGCAGAGATTGATCTTTTCTTCTTAGCTCCATCTTTGCCTCGGAGAGACTCTGCAAGCAGACAGAAAACAGAGTTACTTGTCAGCCCTGATAATTAACTTCAATTTATGCCATAGGCTATTAAACAAAGAAAAATACAGACTGACTGAGGAGTAGAGTTGGGTCATTACACATCAAGGTTTAACAAATTTTCTGCAAAAATTTTACACATTTCCTAATTAGAAATGATAGAACTGGTAAGATTTTGAAAAATGTTTTGCTACAAAATATGACTCTATTTTATTTGTTAAAGTGTTGGAATAGTAAATAAATTATGTTCTCACTAGAAATACCTGATTATATAAATCTCAAGTTATGTTTCATTTAATGATGAAAATAAAGATTTCAGGAGACAAAGCATATGAAACTTAAGAGTCTATTTAACTCTAAACTGAACTTAATAAAAGCATCATATGCCCACGGTGAGTATATGATTGAGAGAAAGGCAGGTTCCTAAAAAAGAATGGTGAACTTACTACTTCATTTTGAAATCTACCTGTAAGAAGCTGCTCTAGACTTCTCAGTGAACAAACTGGACTCTTAAAATTTACTTGTTTCCCAGCAAATAAATTTCCCTTGAAGGACAGCAACATAAAGGCGATCAACACACTTCAACTAATACAAAAAGTTAAGAACAGTATTTGCATTCAGCATTACTTAAAGTCTGTAAATGTCTCGTAATCACAGAAGTATAAAATATGTTCATTAATATTTAATCTGAAATACCCAGGACAAGATTTCAAAATAAAATCGTACAACTGCATCTTAAAAGTTTTGGGCTCAAGGTGTTAGAAACAATTTAAAGGACTATTTCCTAGACCTCAAGATTCTAGGGCACAAAATAATACAGAAATCAAAATATCTCTTACCACTAAAATTCTGTCATTCCTTTGCCTATGAAATTTCTAAAATAAATTTATCAGTTTTTCAATTTGTTAAGTGTGAGCTAAGCAACTAACTGCATACACCTCCATGTTTTTCTTTTTGCTCAGAATTTAGCCACACATTAATATCCACAACTGTGCTTCACAAATCTAGTAAAGAATAAACAACATGTTATAATTTTATTTTTAAAATTCTTCCAACACTATTCTTTCAGAACATTCACAACACATACTTTAAAAGCTCAAGCTTCCTACATGGAGCTAAAACAATTCACTCTGGGGGTAATCATATCAAATCAGGTAGTATTTTTAAATATGAAATGTTTTTAAATTCAGTCGCTCACTTTTAAAACAGTCAAATTGCTCTTAGACAAATAGGAATCAAAAATTTATAATGAGCAAACCATGATTACTCATTAGATACTGAATTTTATTTTAAAGTTTCTAGTACTAAAAACTCTTCAGGAACATTACAAGGGTGATCAGTGGATATTAAGTTTCAGTTACATAGGAGAAAGAAGTTATGGTATGGTATTTTACGGTAGGGTGACCATAAAAGATAGTAAAGTACTATATATTTCAGAAAGACTTAAGAAAGGACTTTGAATGTTTTTATCATGAAGAAATGATTAATGTTTGAGAAGATGTATATGTTTGACCTAAATTAAACATTATAAAATGTATACATGTATTGAAACATCACATGCTACCCCATACGTAGAAAAGGTTTTTAGTTTCATGTAACAGTTAAAAATAAATTCATCTTAAATTAGAAAAAGAACATTCCATCATGAAATACTAACGGAATCAAATTAACTTTTAAAAGACAAGAAAGAATAGATTTTAAAAACTGCTCTAGGGGCTGGGGATTTAGCTCAGCGGCAAAGCGCCTGCCTGGCAAGCGCAAGGTCGTGAGTTCGGTTCCCGGTACCGGAGAAAAAAACCAAAAAACAACAACAAAAAAAAAAACTGCTCTAAACCTAATTTTATGCCAATGTTAAGATAGTTAAATACACTAAAGCATCATGAGATTTCTTCACTTAAAAACTAAAATCCATTTGAGTTCTTTTAAAGTCAGGATTCCCAACATCTTTTAGAACACACACAAAAAAGATGTTTATTTTCAGGTCTGAGGATAATACTAGTGATCTGCCACCAGTTACACACAAAGCTGAAACTTTTTTCCAATAGAAATAATACATTTGTGCCAACATAGTCAAATTCTCTTGCTCACTAACGGAGCCTGTTTGTGAGGTGCTTATTTGTGAAAGGACTCTTCAACCTTTCAGTATATTGTTTCCAGCTTTGTCTAGATTGAAACTCCCTGGTCTAATCTGGGAGAACTCATAAGCTTGGATTATTATAACCCTACACCTGACTTTTCTGCATATAGTATACTTTAAAAGAAGATGTATCTCCCAGCATTAAAACTCCCACTGTATATCTACGTCCTCTGGTATCATTCTTTCATCTCTCAGGAGCAATGACAGGGAGCTGTGAAATTCTCCTAAAGTCTACACTATATTTCAGGGACACAGAAAAGTAACAGGTATTATAAACCATACTTCCTATTGAGTGGAAAGGAAAATACAGCTTTTAAAATATCATGGTTAATATATTTATAGGCATAAAAGTTTAATTTCAAAGAATTGAAGGATATCACCAAGGCATCTGTATACATCAATAAATCCTAAGGTTTATGCTAATGTATGCAAAACACCAAGACATAAAAAGTGGTTCAAAAATACATCATCTCTCTAACAGTCACTTTTTTATGCCAAAAACAGAATCTTTAAAAAATTTCACACTGAGCTTTAATTACAGCAAAATTTATTTGTATAAATCGTGTATTTACATATATATCTACAGAACATATATACTATAGAGCAGAAATATACCATTTTAAGTTCAGCTTTTCTCTGTTCAGATTCATCTAATTAAAACCTATGATAAACTTTATGGACTCATAATATTTCCTACCGAAGGACTGAAACCAAGAGGGTATGCCTCTAGGCAGCAAGGCAACAATGATAAGCAGCAGGTTAGCCACTAATTTCTCAACCAGGGTAGATTGTGAAAGTGTGATGTTCTGATATCCAAGAAACTGTTCAGGAGAGAATAGGATAAATCAAGTTTAATAACTCTGCTCCTAATTGTTCCCCCAATGCTCAACTCTAATTACTTGGAGAACTCTCCTGACTGTCACCTGATATTAAGTTGTTGGAGGCTGAGCCTGGAACAGTGAGATAATCAATAAACATTTAGTGGGGAGAAGAATGAAGATCCTTTTAAGCAGTGGGAACCTGCAGCACCCAAAGCCCTTCTGCTCATGAGAAAACCTATGGGACAGCCACAGTGATTGCAAAGCAATAATCCAAAGCACTGTTTCTAGGCCTTGAGGCCTTTAGGCAACAGTACATTTGAGGAAAAAAGGTTAACACGGTCACCCTAATTACAGCCCACTTTCACATACTTCATATATAAGCGAAGACAAGCCAATTAGGTAGAAAGGAAGATAAGGGAAGTTTTATTTGTATACTAATTAAACCCCTGATGAAATTAAAGGAAAAACATACAGCTCTGTAATTGTGTCTGAGAAAGGTCACTTCAGGTTCAGTTATCAGAACAGCACAGCCTTGAGATATTTCACTTAATCCACAATACAGCCCTCATTTTGTACTCAGGTCTTAATATTTACCAAAAAAATCAAAGAATTTATCTTTAAACAGTGTTGTGAACAATTCTAGCTGTTAGAAAGTTAATGCTAAATATGATAACAAAAGTCTTTTAAAAGCCAGAAAAATTCTGCTTACACAAGAACCAATGCATCAGTATCACTTATCAAAGATTCCAGTTCTCGTTTTTAAGATCAAAATGTTTTAAAGAAAAACTTTTAAATGTACTTCAAAAGCTATTATATAATATTTTTTTGGATAATACTATTACTTGCCTTCATGTACATCTCTCATAATGCAAGAGAAAAAAGCCAGTGCTGCCACTAAACCTTTATGAGAAATACTTACGTCTGATGTTTTTCCTAAAATAGTCGTGAAAAGTAAATATATTAGCAATGAAAGCTGGCAAAGCAAAGTGTGGACACAAAGACAATAGCCACATACTAGGAAAATTTAGGAATGAAATACATGGCAAGTATGAATATTAAATGATCCAAATATGTTTTAAATATCTTTTTTCTTATATAGCTTCTGAAGTTTCTATAACAAATATGTATTACTATTGAATAAGAACACAAACTATTTTATGTTATACATAATTGTATATTTCTAAAGCATTATTTAGGCTTACAAATTTTTAATTGTAAATATAAATTGAAATCTTATTGGCTTGCATCTCTGAAAACATTATGTGACATGGACATTTTTCTTAAAATAATTATTTTGCTTTATTGCAATATAATTCCCATAGTACACAAGTCACTCTGTATAACTCAAAGGGTTTTACAGAGCTGTGCAATCATGTCCAGTAGAGATCTTTTTTGAAGTTTAAAAAACATACAAAAATATCTTTTAAGAACAACATGGTTTCCTAAATGTAGTAGGTGCCATTATTTTAGCAAACAATTTAAAATTATATTAGATATACAAAGTTTATAATTTTGTTAATAGTTTTAAGAATTAAAGTCATAAAATGAATTCCATAAATCAGAGTATTAGATGAATAAATGTAGTATAACACAAAAGTTAAAGCTATCTGAAAGGATATGCACATCTCTCCAATTAATATTTCTGGACGTCAAGGGAATCACTCAAGATAGTTCTTTCTCATAAGGGTACCGTCTAGCAGTGCTTTAGACCATTAGGCTCTAAGAAGACTGAGCCCCAGGGGATATTGCTTTTATAGATTTTCTTTTGTCTAATGGGAAATATCTATGGATCCACATTCCTACAGACTAAAAGCTAATGGCTTATTCAATGTGGTATAAAAATTAGTCATATAAAATCAAAGGCAAGACAACAACACAAATCTTATAAAGAACTAAGTCACATTTCCTAAATCATGAAAAAATATCTACATTTGTAAAAAATAATTTAGAACTATCTGTATCTTCTGAATAAGCATTACTAGACTTCAAAGAGCTGGGTAAACCATCTCAGGCCACTAAAATTA